TTAGGGAGGGAAAGAGGGAGAGAGAAGGGCAGAGGGAAAGAGAAAGGCAGAGGGACAAAAAGACAGAGATAGAAAGAGCGAGAGAGATAGAGAGGAAGAGACAAAAATGCAGATATAGAGAGAGACAGAGAGAATGAGAAATTCACGGAAAGACTTGTTTGAAAGAGAAACCGTAAAATAAAAGAGGTTTTGAAAGAATGAAAGATATTCTGTTAAGTGGCAGCGTTTCAGAATTAGAGAGGGAGTTTTAGACTCAAGGTGAGAGGGGGAGAGAGGGAGGAGAGTCACATAGAGAGAGTGAGAGTGTGCGGGAAGAATCTCTGAATCAGAAATGGACAGACTGAAAATGAGAGAATCTCAGAGCAAGAGAGGGAGAGGGAGTTTGAGAAAGACGCCCAGAGAGAGAGAGAGAGAGAGACAGTGAGAGAGAGTGAGTAAAAACGAGAGAGAGAGCAAAAACGAGAGATAGAGAGGGAGAGAGAATGTCAGGCCAAGTACTTCTACTTATTAAAGAGAACTTACCACTCGTGACTTGAAATATAAAATCTCAACTGACCATTTTGTTGAATAAGAATAGCGAATGCATTTCAGATTTCAAAATGATTAAATTGATTTATTGAACATGTTGGTCTTAACAAGATCGGTGGGGGCTTCTCTTGTTGAAGTTTCTGATTGGACACTTAAAAGAATTATTTTTCTCTCTTTATGATAGAAAAAATTGATCGAAAACAACGAACAAAAATGGAGGACGGGTTGGTTGGGACGAGTGGTTTCACAGAAAAAAAAAGCGGGAAGCGAACACACACGTGCAGCTATTCGGAAGACAACGAAGGGGTGAAAAAATAATTAACAACTTAGCCTAATAAACAGGTTAATTGATGAAAATGACAAGAGATATGAAAATGATAATGGATCGTGATTAATTAACAGAAAATGTTGCTGTTATTTTTCGCTGATTCCAAACTTTCGAACCTACCATATTACACGCTTACTGCATTTTGTCGTCTGCTTTTGAGTCTTCAGTCGCGATCAAAGCCATAAGTCTCTTGTTTCGCAGCCCGGATGTCTCACACTGATCTCTTATGTCAGACTAAGTTCACGTTGTGTCCCGTATCCCATTAAGATTGTATGGGTATCATCATAAATACTGCAGACTTAGTGGCAGGGTTGTGTCTAAGCCAAGATAACCTGATGCTATTTAGTAACTGCCCCATCGCAGTCACATGTGGCACAAGGCAGAATTTAAAGTGGGGTTCCCGAGCCCGGAGGCTCGGCCAAAAAATCCCTGTAGACCACGCATAAACGGGATCAGGTCTGTCCACCTCACCGGACGAAATTCTACTCTTCGGCATAGCCTCGTCCGGGTTCCTCTCTGCCCGAAGGCAGAGGGTTCGACTAGCGTAGGATAATGTAATGGTTAACAAGTATCGTCTTGAGTTTGAAACCAGTCTAGGAGAAAGAAAATTCTGTATTGAAAATCAGCGTCAAAGGAAATGTACTCTGTCAGGTTATCCTCACCTACTAAGTTACGCTCAGTAAATTACCATTATTGCTGTAATGATCTAGAGCCTCATTGGGTGGATGTTCTACATTTATAACTGAATTAAACAAAGTAGATATTTATCAGCGTGACAAGTGTGGCCTTTTCTGATCTTTCATGTCTGTGTTGAGGAGAATGAACTCGTTTGTTAGGCAATGATTAACCACTTGTTTTCATTTTTAGTAACCGGAAATTCAAATGTTATGCTAACATGAGGCTTATTCGCCTCGAGTGGCGTCTAAAAATTAACCTTTGTATATAACGCACTGGTATTAGTTAAGTTACATTAAGTGTTCAACATTTTTTTTTTAATTTCAATTTTTAATTCTTTTTAGCAGTTTGTATTTTAGATTTTTGTCTGTCGGGTGGTGGATGCCACAAACCCTCGAAGAAAAACTGGTGGCGCGGGGGGGAGCAGCGCTTTTTAAGATACCAAAAAAAATCAGGGAATTATCCTGTTTAAATGAAAATTTCAGTATTGCCTCGGGGTTCTTGATAGGCTCCAGAGGCGGATATGCAATATAATTGGCCCTGTTCTGGCATCTCGTCTACAGTCACTCTCTCATAGACGCGCCGTCGCCTCTCTCTGTTTTACAAATACTTTCATGGAAATTGCTCCGAGGAGCTGCATTCGCCGGTTCCCAGACGTCATGAGTTCAAGCGCCCTACGAGGCTGGCATCCCGCTCTCACCCCTTCACTGTCGAAACTCCTAAATGTAGCCAACTCTTCTACTCCAATAGCTTCATGTTTCGCACCTCTCACCTGTGGAACTCCCTTCCCTATTCCAGTTTCCCTGAGAGCTATAATCTCCAACTATTCAAGTGTAATGTCAATCGACATCTCCAGTTGCCTTGATCTTTCCACTATCCTTCTCCTCATCCTTTCTTCTATCACTCCTATCTGATCTTGCTCTAAATTTTCTGTAACCCCTTGCGTCCTAGTGGCTCCCCGCCTTGCTTGGGGTGAAATGCTTAAAAAAAAAAAGAAAAAAAAAGGAGATATTCATTATTTAAAAAAATCTGAGAAATGTTATTTTTTTGTAATAACCCCCACTATTTTTATGACTAAATTTACTCGAAAAAATGTTTAAGTCGCCATTTTTAACATGTCCATAAACATTAATGTTTATGGACATGTTAAAAATGGCCAACGCATTTCGGCTGAAAAAAAAAATGTTTTACTAAGCTTCCAACACAACACAGGAAAAAACATCCCCGACAAACTGAATTTTGTTACCCCCACCAAAAAAAAAAAAAAAAAACCCAAAAAAACGGTGCTAATTCATGCCAGAGCTTTATGTATTTACTGTTTTGCCGATCGTTTGACAGAAAAAATTAGGGTCAATTAAGTTTTTTTTTTAGGGTTAGTGGTAGGCTAGGAGTTGAACTTTTCCGTAAGAGTTTGACGAATGAGATAATCTGCAATTTACATTTACATTGATTCATGGTTTGGTGTCTATTTAACCTGGCCCTCTCATGCATTTGCAAAAAAAAAAAAAAAAACTAAAAAAAAATCTTTCTCTACAATTACATAGCTTAATAAATACATTTGTACATTTTAAGTGAGATGTTTTAGTTTTAACAGTTCAACTCGTTGTACCTAACTCTACAAATAAATACTCCATGTCACAATTAATGAAATGATAAAAAATTCTTTCATTAAAAAATTCGTAAGATTTTGAAAACTGAAGTTTAATGAATGTTTTTCGTTTTTTAACAACACATTTCTTCGAAGCAAAATAATCCGCACTTCTTGACAAGTGAAAACTAATGAAAAAGTAGAAACACGTTTAAATTTTTTCAAACCTTTTTTTGGTTTTAAAACAATTTGAACGTGTTTATACTTTTTTGTTAGTAACAAAGAACTCAACGAAGTGTATTTTTAATATAGTTGAATAAAACTTTCTTTTTCATAAAAAATTACGTTAGATGGGCGAAAAAATATCAACCTACTTAAAATTTCATACAAAATTATCTATTCAAATCCTCCCAGTTTGTCCTCTTATAAATCCAGATCTGCTTAGATGTCTTCTGTGTCGATGAGTTTATTGTTTTATTACCTCTGGTAAGTGTATATTAAAGACAAAGAGAGTGGGGGAGCTAGCGTGTGTGAAATATAACAGGTTTTTTTTTTTTTTTTTTTTTTTTTTTTTTTTTTTTAAGGGCTTTAATTACACTTCACCATTCCCACACACAAAATGCGATGATTTCACTTCATGTGATTCCCAGAGTATTTTTAATTTTTTTCCAAAAGAGAACAAACGGAATTTTCTTAAAAATTTGTTTTAAAAACAGTATTTCAGTTTTCGGGAAAATTTTTTTCATGTTTTTAAAACATTTTTATTTTTTAAGCGATCATTTTCTCGGTTTTACATTTCTAGAAATGTAAAAGATAAGAACTAGAAATTTTATCTTAATTATCAGCCGTGGACTTTTGATTGTTATTACTGCCTTGTCGATTATTATCGGGGATGATTGACAACATAACTGAAGTAGATTCAATTTAATATTAGGTTGGTGCAAAAATAATGTCGTTTTTTGACGTTCAACTTAACGTCAAAAAAACGGCATTATTTTTGCACCAACCTAATAACTACAGAAAGTAAAAAGTAAAAAAAAAAAACAAAAAAAAAAAAACCATTGCTGAAACTAGCCCTTTTGAGACTCCAGCTTAGTCGGGGGTCGGGTCTGCATAGTACGCACAGCACCGGCCATGCAGATACTTCCTGTATAATAATATAGCTGATGACTGACAGTGTAACGTCAGGTTAAAAATAATAAAAAAAAAATGGCGGATGGCCATTAAACAGTGCTGAAAAAAAAATGGCCGAAGCCACAACGCCCCCGGATAAGACTCACCGGCCCTGGACATCTGAGCGTGTCTAAAATAACCGACAATACATTTCTGAGAAAATTTAATACAATTATGTCTTAATCGCATGATTCTATGATTTGTAGGCATCAGTGTAAATTTGTTAAAAAATTATTGAAAAATATGTTCGTGTTATTCAGAGATAAATATCTTTGTTTAACAAGGAAGCTTATTGATTATTTAAACGAATAAAGAGAAATGGAGGCGCGTTTATTTTAGATAGACAATCACAGCTACAGAAATTTAAAAGAATTACCGTCTTTTTTATGCAAACAAACATCTTTAAATAAATATTTATAGGGACAAAGTATTGATTAATTTAAGGTGAACCACAAAAATATCATAAGTACAATGAAAAATGTATACTTATAGAGAAATATTAGCCTGACATAAGGCCACAAATGCGAGGTATTCAAAGAGAATTAAACTGAGGAAAATAGGTTCTTCAAGATCAGCATCACACCACGATTTAGGATATCTCCTTTCTCCTTCTTTGAAAGTAAAGCAAATATTCCGAACATATGACCCAATCACCAAGTATTAGACTTCCATTCTGAATCCGATTTTGGTCGAGTACTGACACAGCTTAGAATTTTGAATACTGATTATTAAAAGATTGTATATTCTCTTCACTTTGAAATCACTCCATTTCTTTTCTCTTTAGCATCTGTCGGATTAAAATAAATTTAATATATTTGATATTTTAACAGGTTTTTATTAACGTCATTGAAGTTACTGAGTTCCACCTGATAAAGGGTCAAATATTATGCTTTAGGTGATTTGGATAATAACTTTGATTCTTGTTTTTTTTTGTTTGCAATCTTTAATCAAAATGGCTGGTCTATTAACTTTTTTTATATGCCTGTCAATATGAATGGTAAGGTCCCAAAGTATAATAACATCTTGGTTATCTATGACTAGTTTATATCAATGTTGCTTTCATTTTTCGGCATGTGGGACGTTATAATATTGACATATTTACCAATGAATATGTAGCCCAGTCTTGGATCGTTATTCCTATTCCTTCCATGTAAACACCGGACAGAAAAACACGAAATGGTCATTATTATTATTATTATTATTATTATTATTATTATTATTATTTCATGTGCTTGCATCTTCATACAATGCATTTGGAGCAAATGTCATCAAATCCCCAACACTTAACTCAGTATTTCCACGGATTTCATCATTGCCGTGGTTTGAAAAGTCTAAATACATTTTCAAAATTTTAATTCCTTTATTCTTTATGCTGGTATGTTAGGAACTGTTCCGAGTGCCCAAGTTATCATAGGCACCACCAAAATGTTCGTGTTCCATATTTTTTCTCACTTGTCGATGGAAGTCCTGATAGTTTTTCCGAAATTTTGTTTACATTTGTCTTCACCCATTATTCACAACTATCCCACGATATTTCTTTGTCTCTTGTCTTGTAACGGCATTCACCCGGGGTGGGTTGAGCCGGCTCCAATCTTGGAGTTTCATGGGAATTTGGAATTCACAAGCGGTCCCCAAACCGGCACGTATTTTTATCATTACCTGACAAACGAGTTCATTCTCATGAACCAAGAAATGAGAGATCAGAAAGAAAAGGCCACACTTGTCATGCTGATAAATATCTATTTTGTTTAATTCAGTTATAAATGTAGAACATCCACTCAATGAGGCTCTATTGGGTTTCCGTTGTATACAACACATTTCCTCCTGGGTCCCAATCAGAGACCTATGGTCAGAAATGGCATCATGTCATCTTCAGCTGATCATTTTTGTAAAAAAAGAACAAAAGAAAAAAAAAATCACACATTTTATATAGATAAAGCTTTTCGTAATCCCTCAGCTGTAATTATGAGTAAAATTTTTATTATTATTATCTTGAAAGTCCATTCATCTAGAACGTTTTGCATTAATGAGGGTGCCCCAAAGGGTTCTATCCTATGACCTAAATTGTTTCTAATTTTCATCAATGAACGTCTTGATGTCATCAGGTATCAAAATCATATCTATACTGATGATCTAAAAAAATCTAAAATCTGTTATTAACTGGGGCAAGAAATGGCTTGATAATTTGAACGCCTCCAAAATGAAACTACTTATGTTATCAGTTATCAACATCATATCTATACTGATGATACAAACTCTTTACTCCTGATCAGTTCGATAAAATCAAGTTAACAACTGATAAAAAAAATCTATAATCTGTTGTTAACTGGGGCAAGAAATGGCTTGACAATTTGAATGTCTCCAAAATGAAACTACTCACTTTTAATGATCCAAGAAAACATTGTTTACCTTCCATTAGCATCGTTGCATCTAGGAAATTTAGTTCACTGTGTAGTGTTAAACAATTTTTCCCAACAAAAACTTTCTTACCCATTTATAAGTTTACCATTCGTCCATACATTGAATATTGTTGTCACATCAGGTCTGGTGCATCTGGTCTGGTGCATCTGGTATGGTGCATCTGCTATATATTTAGACATTCTTGGTAAAATCTCAAAAAATTTGCAATGTTATGTGCCTTGATATGGCATCTCGATTTCAGTTACTTTCCAATGGCCGCAATGTAGCTTCCTTGTGATTTTTCTAAATATATTTTCACTTGTAATTGTTCTAATGAGTTTTCCTGTTTGCTAACTCGACGCAGTACATGGAATGAATATCAGGACAGACTGGATCCTATAGCCTTGGTTGGCAACCAGTCTATCGCAGAAAGAAACTGCAACCTACTAATTCTGCCTAGTCAGTCATGTATTGAAAGAGACATGATTGCCCAAGCGTTTTTCAAGTATGACACTTAACTGAGTGACTAGCTATTTGGCACTTAGTTCTCATCATTTTAGGCTTGAAATGGTTAGATATAACGATGCTATCAGTTTCTTCTCTCGCACTTCTCGCTTGTGGAACACTCTTCTGCCTTCTTGCTTCCCTGTCAACTTTGACCTTCAAAAATTTAAATGCAATGTCAATCGTTATCTCCTGTTCTTTTATTGTTCTCTCTTCTTTATAATGTTTTTCTTTTTTTCGTATTCTCTTAGACTCTGTGACACCCTTGAGACTTAGTGGCTGTATTGCCTTGCTTGGAGTGCAATGATTAAAAAATATTATCATTATTATTATTGTTATCTCCAATTTTGCAATGAGATATATAATGGTCGTGATTTTGACGGCTTATATATAAATTTACTGAATATATTTAACCGAATAGAAATGATTTTAGGTTAAAATATCAAGAAAGATATGAAAGTGACACGTCATTTGCTTTTAATTGTTCAGAATAAAACAAAGGAACAGATTAAACGATATGAGACGAAAATATTCAAGTAATAATAATAATAATAATAATAATAGATCAAGTGATATTTCAATTCAGTCTTTTTTTTTCTAATGTTCTAAAGACTGCTTCAAAGTTACGCGCAAAATCACGTTTTTTCTTTCAAAGTGAAATTTGTCAAATCAGACAACAGATAGACGGAACAATTTTCATTCCATTATTTTCAAAATCAAACAATGTGATTCTGTTGAGTTAGATGAAAAAGATAAGCAAGATTTCATCGATAAAAAAAAAAAAAAAAAAAAAAACTTTATATTTCACTCACCTGCGATATGAATGCGTGTGTGTTAGTCTGATTACATGTTTCGGTATTTGTACAAATATTTTCGATAGAGAAAAGAAAGAATAGATATTTCTATAGATGGACATATAGACAAAACATTGATTTGGTGTTGGAATAGCAAAATATCTTGCAGAATCCGGATTTTCAATGGGTACCCCATAACGATGGCCGTGTGCCAAGACTAAACAAAGATTAGTAAAACAAAGCTACACTTAGTAAATAACCTTTTATATAATATTGTTCAGTCAATACAAGGCCCAAGAGTCACTCAAGGTAGAAGGTTATTGACTGAAGCTATTGTAAGGCGCAAGAGGAGGAAGTAAGAAGTCTTTATTATGAGGATATGTAGGATAGATAACATTTGACGCTGGGCTTGAAGAACTTGGTAGAACAGACTTTCGATAAGAGTAATAGTTCATGGAAAGACGTGGAACTTCCTCCTTGTCAATGGAATAAGGAAGGAAATCTGTGTACGTGGGGTCGTAGCTGTAAAGGTCTGGGGAGGGGTAAAAATAAGGAAGATAGCTCGTCAGAATATTCACCATGAAAATAGCGATAGAGTAACGAGAAGCTAGTAATGTCCAGTCTGTGGGAAAGTGCCTTTACGGAGAAAAAAATAATTCATCAACCACAAGGCCGCGTAAACACTTTTGAACTCTGAAAAGGCTGGGAAGCGAAGATTAGACAACACCAGCCCAGATGGCGATTTACTAAGCGTTGCTTTGATGTGGTACTAGGCCGAAAGATAGATAGATAGATAGATAGATAGATAGATAGATAGATAGGAGATTCAAGTTAAAGTTTTCATACTTCTAAGGAAATGGTGAAATGTCCTTATGGAGTGGGAGTTCTGATGTCGCTACATACACACTGCTCAGCTTGTGGACGTTCTATGCTGAAAGACCAGAAATGAAAAAATGTTTTTTCACCGTTACACAACGGTAAAATGCCCCGGATCCACCCCAGATATAGCAGTACCACTTCATTTTTGGTCTAGTCTGACTCGTTTAAAGTTCGGGCATAGCAGGAGGATTTAGGCACTTATTTATATACCATTCTCCCAACATCTTTATCTATGTAGACATAGAGCAATTCATCATGGCGCAAGGATTATCAAGCTTATCTCGCATACTCTTACTAATAATGTTCGATTATTACTGAATGTTCCTGCTTGTGAGAGTTATGCTTTATGTCTGAGAGAGTTATGCTTATTAAATATCCACACACACACATATATATATATATATATATATATATATATATATATATATATATATATATATATATATATTGTCTATGGATGACAACATATATATATATATATATATATATATATATATATATATATTGTCTGTGGATGACAACATATATATATATATATATATATATATATATATATATATATATATATATATATATATTCATGCACAGAGAGAGTGTTTCGCTGTATCACAGCTCATCAGTGTGTGTACACATCCGATTGCTTCAAGCCGGGATCGAAATCTAACTGAGATTGTTTTACCTAACCAGCTATGAGAGCCCGGTAGAGAGGAAGGCGAAATTTTACGTACCTATTCTTCGAATAAACATGGCATTTACGGGCAGTGATCAATTCAGAGAAGAGCTTTGCAGTATTAGCAGTAGTAGTCATTGTTTACAATTTCGCGCTTTCCCCCATGAGTGCTCGACCGGAATTAAATTGTAATACTTTTATTATTTTCGTTATTTCAATATTACTTCCGATAGATGCAATACACACATACAATTAGGGCGTTTACTTCAAATACGGAGTATCCTCTACAATAACGGTTGCAGTAATAACAAATGCGGGATTAAAAATAAAACCATTATTTCTTTAGAAATTGCTTTGCTTGCGTTCCAGATACGAAACTTAGCAGATATGAGTCTTTCGAGATAATAATCAGGGTTTATAAGATGTGCTTCCTTAAAAAGGGAAAATAGAACCTTGCTTGCTGCAACGTTCTCCGTGGCCGAGCTGTAAAACATACAGGAACATATATATATATATATATATATATATATATATATATGTGTGTGTGTGTGTGTGTGTGTGTGTGTGTGTGTGTGTGTGTGTGTGTGTGTGTGTGTGTTGGCCTATTCTGAGACAATGTACAATAGGAAAATTCAAAAGCTCCTTACTTAAAGAAGAAGAATTTGCTTGCCTTGAAAATCACATTGCGAAATCCAGGATTGATATCGGTTAGAAAGTCAAAGTTAGTCTTAATAATGTTTTTAGTGCCGTTCACATTATTTTCGTATGAGGCAACGGATTTCATTTGTTGCTTGAAAGATGTCTTATTTAACTTAATTTTATTTTTAAGTTTATTATTAGAATTTCTTGTGTTTCGCGTCGTTTAATATGTCATTTATCAGGCAATAATGTCATAAAAGCTAGTATTAGGCAACATAGTCCACAAGGACTTAGATACTCGTTGATAATATATAAAAAAAAAGTTTATAATATAAACTTTGAAGCAAAAAGGCTTAAAATATTTGAATCCATAACCATACAAAAAAATAAACAAAAACAACCTTGGAAAGAAATAGCCGGGAAAATGCTTTACTAAATTTATTCAGTAATTAATAACCATGCAAACCAATTCTATAGAATGTCAACTGGCCTTAAATATTTTGGAAGTGGCCTTGTAAACGACGTCATCGAATTATGAAATCATAATTTAAAACTTCCAAAGTCCATGATATCTGATGTCGCTAAGGAGAGGTACTTAATTGGGTTCTTTAACCCCCTCAGCATTTTTGGAACAGAAAACTAAATTCTGCCTTCTTGATCTTAGTCTTTAGTCTACTGAAACATTAATTTTCACAATAAATAAGCCTATATCTTTTTTTTAAAACGTTATTTTCTAGAACATTTGTATACCTAATTATCGGAATTTGACTAAAGCTGTCATTTCAGAAAATAAGTGGAAACGATCATTAAAAAAATGGGTACTTCTAAAACAAAAAATATTGTCAGTTGATCGATCGAAATTTGATATTTTATAAGAGGATAAGATAAAAAAAATATAGAATGAGAAGTTTTTAACACAATTAAAGTTCTTAAAACAACTATTGAATGTGGCTTTTAATAAAAACGTGTTTATATATATATATATATATATATATATATACACGGTTGTAACCTATTAAATTGGAATCGTGATCCCGATCCAATTCATCAGACCTACAAATTCAGAAATAAAACAGAAAATATATCTGTGGGTTTATAAAAAAATCAGGAGATATATTTTCTGTTTTCTTTTTGAATTTGTATGTCTGATGAATTGGATTGTGATTATGATTCCAATGTAATAAATTATTACCATAGAATATTAGTGTTTGAGCCTTTTATATTATATTCTTGTATTGTCTTGTACATTGAGCTCTACCTAAATTCTATCCTCTTGAATATATATATATATATATATATATATATATATATTAACCACAAAATTATCTATCTATCTATCTATCTATCTATCTCTCTCTCTCTCTCTCTCTCTCTCTCTATATATATATATATATATATATATATATATATATATATAAAGCAGGCCCTGTGCTGAAGTTTGCGTTCAAGCATGAAACAGACCGTCACCACTGGCTTTTGACCTAATTGTCCACTATTATATATATATATATATATATATATATATATATATATATATATATATATATATATATATATATTTATATATATACACTGTATCCCTGATATTAAACACTTATACTCATAAATATAGGATAACCTTCATATATATATATATATATATATTGCTTCTAATTTTGGTTTTTTGTATTTACCAAATTTCAAATAAAATGTTGCACCACTTTTCGAACAAAGATTTAGAACTGCCACAATTTCTTTGCCAGTGAGTGAATTCGATCCTCACTAGGTGTTACGTAATTATGGTCGTGTGCTACAACACATTTGTTGGTATAATAACTTCGATTTTCACTCATTACCCTACTAATGTGGTCTTTTGCCAGAATAAAGCATGTTTATTCAATATCTTCTAATAACTTTAGTTTTATTTCTTTTATGCCGTCATATGGATATATTTTTCTAATAATTTTCCTCAAAGAAAGCATTTGTGTAGAACGTAATTTAAAAGTTTGGCAAACTGATATCTGATGTCGAACAAATCAGAAGAAAAACGATTTTGAATATTACAGATGCAGACGATAAATTCTCCCTCCCTATTTCATTATTTCATTATCAACACGCTTTTATTCAAATTTTGTCTACACTATCAATTACTGATCTAATAAAACAAAGTATCTTTCCAAGATTGATGATGACCCCCACCATCGATCTTGTTTTAAACGCAAACTGTACCCAACTGAAGTGCTCGTCTCATCTTTGCTATCAAGCATATCTACTGACTTTCCAAAATGGTTTTATTACTTTCATTCGAAATCAGTCTAATGTTCACTTCTTGCTTCGTCTCCGTCGGCCACTGAGCGTTATGTTCAAATCTCGTGATCATAGGCAGCGAAAGGGAAAATAAAGGAGGTGGCACGTGAGATTCTCCGAGAATTGCCGTACGTGTGGCGACGAGATGATCTGTCAAAGTAAGACAAGTGCAAAAAGTGGGAGCTCTTCTCAACTGGAGGAAGTGTGCATTTCTCTTTTTCACACGTCTCAGCCGGCATATCTCTGCCTCTTATCACGTGTAAATAGGCTCAGAGATAACAAGGGGGGGTAGAAGTTTTCTGCAGAGGCGAGTCGTACAAGGAACATACACACTCGCGCGCGCACACACACACACACACACACACAGAGAAACACAGACACGCATAGGTGAACCCATAGCTCACAACCATATAAATATGAACACATATATCAAATAATTATATCGGCTGTTCGTAACTATCTAAATATATGAGCGTGTGCATATGAAGGCGTACGTCAATGATTATCTTCGTGCATATGTGCGCGCATATGATTATCTGTGTGCATATGTGCACGTATATATTTGTATGTGAGTATGAGCTTGTGTTTATATATGCGAGTAAAGATGTGTAAGAATATGTTTTTTATTGTGTGTGTGTGTGTGTGTGTGAGAGAGAGAAAGTTGTGCGCATTCGAGTGTATGTACCTGTAAAAACATTACATATCTATATGTAAATGGATATGTGCGTGAGGGGTTGTATAACTATGCGGGTCAATATGTGTGTGTGTTTGTTTAAACGGGTGTCTTTGTGATTTTTGTAGAGCAATTGAATCCACATAAATATGAATCGATTTCAGATTCTTACTTTCACGCAATCAAAATGTCCTTCACGAAGGTTTTTTTTTTCTTTTACATTCACGTCTCTTTACTCCTTGCTGTTATTTCGCCTTTTGGTCATTATCAAGCGATAGTCTCACACCTTTCGCTGGAAACACAAACTTTTTTTTTTTTTTTTTACAAATCCATCATCACAATATAAAAATGATGTAAATTCAGTCTTATTTTCTTTTAGCTTCACATACCTGGCTTTTTGAAGTCCTTTTCTCTCTATCAAAAGATTTTTGAGCTTATTTCTTTTCCTTTTTATGTACCCGTCTCTTTACGCCTATTTCTCTAAAAGTTTTTACTTTTTATTTGCTTATAATTGCTTTCCTTTTACATTTTAGTAATTTTTTTTTGCCTTTTCTTACAGCGCGCTTTTCTACGCTGTGCATGTGAATTACGAAACCACGATGAATCAATGGTGTATCATAATTTATCAGAATGCTGTCCTTTTAGGCGTGTTTCGATCCGTTTACAATATAGATATTTACTAAGCTTAAAACGCTTATAGTTAACATTAGAATGAGTCATAAGGAGGAAAGATGGTTTGGAAAATTTGATACTCACAGGACATATTGAAAAATAGGACAAAGGAAAACAGTGCATACTCTACCTAACATTCTTGTGTAAGTGAATGGTAGTAATGGGTTTAGGAGAAAAAGCAAAAAGACAAAATTTACTTAGAGGTACAAAAGACAAGAAATTGTAAAGAGTCATGATCGCCAACGTCCTGTAGAGACATGCTACATAAAAAAATCACAAAACCAAAAATATAGCGTGGCCCGAGAAAAGTTTTTAGCCAGGAGAAATAAACTACATCCAATTTCAAAATTTAATTACGTAATCCCTACTCATCATAAATAAACAGTATTTGGAACAAATATGGAGTACGTCCTTCATTTGCTAGTTTCAGTGCTTCGATTTTTCATGGATTTGATCAAGTTATCAACAATCGTCTGATCCATATTTTGCCACTCCTTTAGCAATGTTTCTTTAAATGGTTTCCACTGAAGTGATTTTGGCTGCACGCTCTCGAAGTTTTCGGTGAAGGTGCTCCCAAACGTGCTCTATTGGATTCATGTCAGGACTTTGGGCTACCCATGACAGTGACTTGATTCCTTGTGATTCCTTTCATGCCTTTGGTACTTTTCTCGCATGACATGACGATCCATCTTCTTGTCAATCTTATTGGTTTCAAATAGCGGGAGTATTCCTTTCTCTAATATTTGAAAGTATTTTGAATCAGTAAACCACTCATCAACAAGAATCAGCTCAGATTTTCTTCCAAACCAGACAAAGCCCCACGCCATTACTCCAATCCCTCCATGTTTTAGGGTTGCCTGCAGACATTCAGTCTCATTCTGATTTCTCCAAACATAAACCTGTCTCGAATTCAAATACTGGCAGAATTTACTTTCATTTGTTCAAATTATAAACTGCCAAAACGCATAAACTTTGCTCTCGAATTCTCTCGCCCAGTCACTACGCCTGTTCCTGCTAATCTCTGAAATCAAGGGCTTCTTTGTTGCAACTTTTCTTTGATAACCTTGTCTTTCTCACCACATATGGCAACATTTCTATGCTGTTGATGACAACATTGACGCTCTGGCGATGGTTTCTGATGACTTCCCTCTTCAGCGAATTTTTTGTTCGCTTAGACACAATGCTTGGTCTTCTTGAACGTTGTTCCACAAGACAATGGCCTTCATTAAATTTCTTGACAGTATAATTAACTGTTTGATGATTAACATGGAAAAACCTAGCAATTTCTATATTTGACTTGCCACATTGATGCCATCCTATTATTTGCCCTCGTTGAAATTCACCAATTTTATTACTTCCGCTAACTTTCATTGCAAAATATAAGTCAACTATCGTTCGTAGATGAGAGCAGCTTGATACTAAAATGGTATTGTTTGAAAAAAAAAAAAGATACGTTATTACACAAGCGAAAATTGCTGTAGTTAAAGGGTGGCTAAAATCTTATAGCCCACTGTAGAGCAATCATGATCTAAATAATTAGACTTGTAGTGATCTTCGAAGTCAGCTTACTGAACATCGTTCGATGAAAGGCAATGTTGACTTTTAATAAGATTAGCTTTGTCTTGCACAAAGCCACAATTGTTGCGCGCCAGATGGAGATCAGACTCTCGTTCGCGATTAGCCTACCTTATTTACGATACAGAAACTGTAAATCTTTTTTCATATCATTTTATTTAAGATTACTTTCTTGCGAATAAAATGTATTGTGTAAAAGTTTCCGGCGAAAAAAAAAAAATAGGAAAAGAAAAATACTGAATTCAGTTTTCAATACAATTCCACCCCCCACCCACAAAAAGATTTCTGTTATCATTGGACTGCTTCATATATTCTTCGAACCGGTTTATTCCTGACAAGATGAAATATTCGCGATAGCTATGGAAGTATGATAGATGATAAAATTGAAATCCAACTATCTGATTATTTTATTCTCATAGAATGTTAAATCGGCGCTCTATGCAGTCCTGCAATTCGAGTTTTCGTTTACTCTTGCACTTCAAAAGAAATCAAAATATACGCTCGGAAAAGTCACGACAAATATTTGTAGAATGCAAAATCAATGAAATTCAAATAAATGGAAAAAGAAGTAAAGAGTCTGGGAAATAATTTCCAACTTGCTGTTTTGATATATTAACAATAAAAATGATAAAGGTCCTATGATGTTAATGATGATGATGATGATAATCTTCTTCTTCTTCTTCTTCTTCTTCTTCTTCTTCTTCTTCTTCTTCTTCTTCTTCTTCTTCTATAATAACGACAAGAAAGAAAGATTCCCATTTTTTTCCTACTTATATTAAGCGATAAACTTTCAGCCCAACACGTTAGATTATGCGAAAAATATTGAAAATATTAATGGAAACTTATAAGCTCACAGGAATAGACTTGCGATTGAAATATCGATATTATTAACTCTTCATACAGATGATTAAAAACTATCCATAGAAAAGCCTTATGTCGTCTGTATCACTGTCTTTAATTCCAGAACACTGACTTTCTCTTTTGTCTCATTTACAATGAATTTATAGAGTCAATTAATTGACCATTCTTTTCTCGAATAAAATCAATAATAATGAATTTACATTAAACATATACATTGAGCGTGTAAGTCCTGAAGACTTTCCTTTGAAGTGTAAGGCCACATCCTCACAACGCTGGTGCATAGATTCACAACGTTGGGCCACAGCTGCACAACGTTGGGTCAGAGCTGCACAACGTTGGGTCAGAGCTGCATAACATGGTTTTAGTAGCAAGTAGGATTTTACGGGGTATACATGCTAACCCTACACTGAACCTGTTTTGTATTCAGAATTGTCTTTCTTTTGAACTGGTTACCAACCATAGACAGCGATCACAGTTTGTTTCACTATTCAACCCATAGTGTAGGGAGAAGAGAGACGTTCATAACGTTCCAAAATGGCATTTGTGAAAAAGCGAACGCAACTGTTAGGGTTGGAATTTTTGGGGATGTTAGACACTCACATTGTAACTTCCGTTAGGTCAACGAATGCTCGTTATCACTTCCGGAATGCTCGTTGTAGACAAGACTTTGTAAATGCAGATACTGGTAGTAGTAATACCTTCATATAATATTCGCACTAATAATACTTGTTCAAATAGTAATCGCCGAATAGTAATTCGTATAATGATCAGTATAGATAAATATTATAGTAGGTAGTATAGAGAATAGCGATCACTTAGATGTCACTCTAATTCCCATTTATGTTTCGTTTACAATCACATGATCTACTTATTTAATAATGGAATCGTCCGCGTTTGCACACTGGTGATCTGTGTTTAAACTACAGCGTTGGCAACGACACTTTATTCCTGTACAACAAAATTTAAGCTCAACACGCCGATCCAACTTTCCGATAACCACGACGCAATGCGCACATCCACATTAACTCGTATATGATTGCTTGATTTTGTTTGCATTCTGTAGACCAACAAAGCATTTTTCTTGATTTTCAATGCATAGCACATAGATTGTGAGGCCGGTAGTTAGTTAAGCAAAATTTAATTAAAAACTATTAAATATTTAACTGCTTAAAGATCAAAGTTTTCTTTTCCTGTCTGTGGAAGTCTTTTGCTTATTCGGAAAACTGTGTTATGTTAAAGAAGGGAGGAATTGGGATTAGCAGTAAAGTGCCTGAACACAGATGATAAAACTAAAACATTCTTGACGTGACTGGATTCGAAATCAGTCTGCGTTAAAACTCATTCTTCATTATTATTTCATTTGCCCCCCTTTCCTTACCGTCTGTAGAATTCTAATACTAAAGAAAACTTTTGATGTATTTGTTTAATAAATCCTACCTAGGGTATCACAGACAGTTCAAAAAATAATAATAACGCATCTGTTTTATTCTAGCAAAGCAGAAATATTGAAAAACATTTTCAAAAAATGATTTGGGGAAATCTTTACGTATGTTATTAATCTTTTCCATTACTTACTTTGTACGGTTATGGCAATTCTGCCTCAGCAGAATGCGAAGCAGAGAATTGTCATTTTTGCGACGTTCAGGGATTTTTTCAAACTTGATTCTCCGTTAAATAAGACTTATATTCACATCTGATTTTTTTTCTTTTTTTTTCTTTTTGATTAAAACTTTTATGCTGTTTACCTAAGAAGATTCTTGGCAGTTGCTTTAATGATCCAGGATTTTGCCAGTTTCTTGGCATGAGTTGGTGGCAAATTGCAAACAGAGAAAGAGTCGCACACTGACTTGTTCAGAAGGATTAATTGGAAGCTTCTTCAATTGTTGCCTCGGGCCAAAGCATTTCCATGAATCCTGAAACAAAAGAAATTGCGACGGTATTAAATTCCTTGTTTGTAGATATCTGGGCTTTTGAAAGAATCATTTTTTTTTATTCCCCACTCGCCTAACGCATTTTTTTAAATGACTGGTTTCGTTAATCGTTTTGTGCCTCTGAATGACTGGAATTACACACACACACACACACACACACACACACACACACACACACACACACACACACACACACACACACACACACACACACACACACACACACACACACGCAGAAGCACACGCACGCAGAAGCACGCGCACGCACACACACACACACACACACACACACACACACACACACACACACACACACACACACATATTTATATATATATATATATATAATCTCCGGAGAAATTAAGCATTGTTGTGTAACGTCTTAGGCCATTTGTTTAGAGATGGGCCGACTCGAAATCAGCTATTACTTATAGTAAGAGAAAAAAGTAAAATTGAAAGCGCATTTTCTACAGTGGACATATTTTTTTTATTTCATAATCTGAAGAATATTGTTTTATTTTAGAATCCTGCTATAATTGTTC